TCCCTGAGGCAGTGGCTTTGGAAATCAGTGCAGATTCACTTCAGGACCAAACCCCAGGACTTCTCTTTGCCTCTAGACTTATAACAAGATTAAAGCCCTTGGGTCAGCGAGCTAGCTCCGCAGTCTAAAGCGCCTGCTAAGGCAAGGGCAGGGACCCGGGTCCACAAAAAAAAAAAAAAAATCAAGCCCTAAAACTTCTTTAAGGATAACATAGACTGTATCACCTATAATGAGGTGTATCATACGCTGCAAGAACTACTTCACTCTGCTAATATTTATAAACAGAAGCCTGAGGAACCACTGGATATTGGATATGTAGAACAGCAGCATCAGGAATATGAAGTTGGCGGGCCAGGGAGATGGCTCAGTAGCATAAGCGTTTGCCTGCCAAGTTCCTCAAGTGCTTGCCGAGTTCAATCCCCAGTTCTGAAAAAAAAAAAAAAAAAGAAAAGAAAAACGGAATATGAAGTTGGATCAGCCTGAAATTATTGATGTGTAGAGGCTGGGGAGATGGCTCAGTGGAATAAGTGCTTCCCTGGCAAGTGCAAGGGCCTGAGTTCAATCCCCAGTTCTGCCAAAACAAAACAAAACAAAAACATGGATCAAGAGGTAGACCATAATAGACTAGGTAGAAAATGCTGCATTTAGGGCCAACCAGAAGGACTGGAGAGATAGCTCGGTAGAATAAGTACTTGCCAGGCAAGCGCAAGGACCTGAGTTCAATCCCCAGTTCTGCCAAAACAACAACAGAAAAAAAAAATTATAAATTTTCTGAAGGCATTTGGGTTTTGGGGGGGGGTTGTTTTTGTTTTTTGTTTTTGCAGTACCAGGGATCGAACTCAGCACCTTGCGCTTGCCAGGCAGGCACTTACGCCACTGAGCTATATCCCCAACCCCTTCTGAAGGCATTTGGAGCCTACCCCCCTCAAAAAAAAAATCCTTCTGACATTTGGGGGCCTGCCCTTAGCTCGGTTCTTTAAGTGGCTGCTTCAATAAAGCAGTCAGGCTCAGGTTGCTGTGGTTCGATCCCCACAACTCAAGCCAAGCAAACCTGCCCTGAAGGCATTCTGAGCGTGCCAAAAAAAAAAAATCCTAGGGCCGGCCAGATAACTCAGTAGACTAAAGCTCCTGCTTAGGCAGAGCTCAGCGACTGGGGTTTGAACCCCTGAGTGCTGTGCCGGCCTCGCCCCCTGTTGATTCCACTTCCTTTAAGAACCCTAATCCACTCCATAAAATCAAAATAAATTGCACAAGTTGTGCCTCTAAACAAAGTATGCTTTTTTTTTTTTTTTTTTTTTTTTTTCCTCAGAACCTGGGATTGAACTCAGGCCCTTGCTCTTGCCAGGGAAGCACTTTTTCCACTGAGCCATCTCCTCAGCCCAAAGTACACTTTTCAACAAGCACATAAATCTTACTCTGATGATGACAAATTCTTTAATTGTATGGTATGAATGTTTCTGTGCCTGCATAAAGAGACTCAATTCCTATGGTCCTTAAGTGGGCAAGGATGTTAGCAGGTGAGTAAATTATGAGGAACCGGCTCTTCTTTTGGTTTTTGTTGCTGTTGTTTTGTACCTGGAATGGAACTCAGGACCTTGCACTTCCCAAGCAGGCACTGTGCCACTGAGCTGTCTCCCTGTCCCCAAGGACTCTGCTGTTATGAGTGGGGATGTTACCTTTATAAAACAAACTTCTGGGGCTGGGGAGATGGCTCAGTAGAATAAGCACTTGCTTGGCAAGCACAAGGGCCTGAGTTCAATCCCCGGTTCCGCCAAATAAATAAATAAATAAATAAATAAATAAAACTTTCTATCCTTATAAAACAACTTTCTTTTTTTCGCTATTTGTGGACTGAACAGAAGGTATCAGCTCTGAAGCAGGGAACAAGCTTTCATGAGTCACCAAATCTGTTGGCACCTTGATTTTAGACTTCCCTGTCTCCATATCTATGATCAATTTCTGTTTATAAATTATCCAGCTTAAGATATTTTTTAGATAGCAGTCAAAATGAAATTAGACATTTAGTTTTTTACTATTTTTATTAGCTATCTTTTGCTTTATCAAATGTCCCCACTAGAGGGTAGCATTTGATTAGAATAGTATGGGACTTTTAAATCTAAAATTTTACAACCTTGCCTGTTATAAAACTGAACTAGAAACTATACACTTCTATCTAAATTCATATTGAGCTTCCACATTAATACAAGATCAGGGGCCAGGGAGATGGCTCAGCAGAATAAGTGCTTGCCTGGCAAGCGCAAGGGCCTGAGTTCAATCTCCAGTTCCACCAAAAAAAAAAAAAAAAAAAAAAATTATAAATTTTCTGAAGGCATTTGGGTTTTGGGGGGGGGGTTGTTTTTGTTTTTTGTTTTTGCAGTACCAGGGATCGAACTCAGCACCTTGCGCTTGCCAGGCAGGCACTTACGCCACTGAGCTATATCCCCAACCCCTTCTGAAGGCATTTGGAGCCTACCCCCCTCAAAAAAAAAATCCTTCTGACATTTGGGGGCCTGCCCTTAGCTCGGTTCTTTAAGTGGCTGCTTCAATAAAGCAGTCAGGCTCAGGTTGCTGTGGTTCGATCCCCACAACTCAAGCCAAGCAAACCTGCCCTGAAGGCATTCTGAGCGTGCCAAAAAAAAAAAATCCTAGGGCCGGCCAGATAACTCAGTAGACTAAAGCTCCTGCTTAGGCAGAGCTCAGCGACTGGGGTTTGAACCCCTGAGTGCTGTGCCGGCCTCGCCCCCTGTTGATTCCACTTCCTTTAAGAACCCTAATCCACTCCATAAAATCAAAATAAATTGCACAAGTTGTGCCTCTAAACAAAGTATGCTTTTTTTTTTTTTTTTTTTTTTTTTCCTCAGAACCTGGGATTGAACTCAGGCCCTTGCTCTTGCCAGGGAAGCACTTTTTCCACTGAGCCATCTC